GAGAGATTTACCATGTTCATGTATTAGAAGACAATATATTTATCATGTCAAACTTTCCCCAAATTGATAAATAGATTCAATGTAATCCCAAGCAAAATCACAGAAGGACTTTTTCTAGAAATCAATAGCTGGTTGTAAAATTTGTTTGAGAAGGCAAAGGATATAGAATAGCCAAAACAGTTTTGAAAAGATTTTGAAGACTTGTTATTAAGCTACAATGATCAGGACAGTGAGTATTGGTGAAAAGATTGGTACATAAATATGAGAAACAGAATAGAGAATCCAGAAATAGATCCATACATAAATGGTTAATTTTTAACAAAGGTGCCAGGGAAATCTAACGGACAAAGGATAGACTTTTCAACAAGTGGTATTGGAACGATTGTTCATTTATGTGGAACAAAATAAACCTCAATCTATACCAAACACCATGTATCAAAATTAACACAAAATGGGGCCGGCCCCGTGGTTTAGCGGTTAAGTGCGCACGCTCCGCTGCTGGCGGCCCGGGTTCGGATGCCGGCGCGCACCGACACACCGCTTCTCCTGCCATGCTGAGGCCACGTCCCACATACAGCAACTAGAAGGCTGTGCAGCTGTGACATACAACTATCTACTGGGGCTTTGGGGGGAAAAAATAAATAAATAAAATCTTAAAAAAAAAAAATTAACACAAAATGGATTATAGGTCTAAATGTAAAACCTAAAACAAGGAACCTTCCAGATGAAAATACATGAAAAAGTCTCTATTGCCTTGGGTGTCTTACATAGGAAACAAAAAGCAAGAATCATAAAAGAAACATTTGATAAATTCACTTCCTCAAAATTAACATTTCCACTCTTTTCAAGACTGGTAAGAAAATGGAAAGAAAAGCCACAGAGTAGGAGTAAATATTTTCAAAACTCATACCAGAGAAAAGAACAGTGTCCAGAATGTATAAAAAACTCTGACAACTCAATAATAAGAAAAGCAACCTTTTAAAAAACAGAAAAGAAGACCAACACGTGCTCAGAAATGTAGAGAGATGGAAATGGCATTGCTTCCCTCCTACAACAGCAGCAGAAAAAGTCGGACAAACTGAAAATTAATGATTTTGCTTGAACCCATCAGAGAACTGAGTTTGCAGGGCAAGTGACTTACTCAAAATCTGGAGACAAACAGGTACTTGCAGGGAGAAATGGGAGCTGAGCATTTGGTTACCTTGGACAGATGTCATCAAATATGTCAAGCTGGTCAGAAAATTAACCTAGAAATTTTTAATGAAATAGCTGAGTATAGACTAGTAAGAGAGGGTGAACCCTCGGGGACCACAAATATAGGGCATTTCCAACCATCTTTTAAGCTGCTTCTCCAAAACCCCACGTGATTCTTTCAGGGAAGATCAGGGAGAGTTGACAGAAAGCTTCCTCTTTGGTGCTGGCTGCAGGAGGGTAACAGCAGCCACTGTCAGAATCCACCCAAACACAACCCATCCCGTCTCCACTATAGAAAACAACTTAATCCGCAGCGGAAGGCACTGGTGAAATCCCACTGCAGTTAGGGGAGGGGAAAGGAGGCTACCACCAAAACTTTGCCCTGAACTATCTCTCTTATCTCCACAAAATAACAAGTTTTCATCTGCAGAAGGATGGGCATCAAAACCATAGCCTGAAGTAGGTGGATACCTACTGCATCTAGGGGAGGGGAAAGAGGATTAAACATGTCCTTACCTCTGGAAGAGGGGCAGGAACATTTGCAAAGTCCACGTGTTCAAGACCCAGTTTCACTTACCTGTTTTCAATGGAGTCTAAATCAAAATACCAGAGAATGTCTCCCTTCCCTACCTCTGACCACCATGCTACCAAACCTTGAGGAAAAATAACAGTGGCTACAGAAAAATAATTGGTAAGAGAGCTTCAAGAGACAGACTTTCTATGGGGAGACTAACAAAGGGAAGACTCAAAGTTAAGTGAGAAGACAAAACAAAGTATGACTAGAGAAACTTTAAGCCTTCGGACCCTAACAACAAACTCCAACCCTGATAACTTTGCAACAACAAACTTCAAACCCAGTCTGACACCTGACTAGATTATCAGAAACTCCCACACTAAAGACCTAGCAGAAGGAAAGGTGTGCTCATTTTCAAGCATAAAGTATATTTACCTCAGTATCTATCGTACTATAAAATATGTCTAGCTTTCAACCAAAAGCTTCAGACGCATACAAAAAGGCAAGAAGACACAAAGCAGTTATCAGAACCAGACTGAGGCATGACACAGACGTTGGAACAATCAGGGAATTTAAACTATGATTAATATGTTAAAAGCACTAACGGAAAAGGTAGACAACACGTAAGCTGACAGGTAATTTCAGCAGAGAGATGGAAATTATGAGAAAGAATCAAAAGGAAATGCAAGAAATAAAAAACACAGTAACAGAAATGAAGAATGCTTTTGAAGGGCTCACCAGTAGACTCAATACAAATAAGGAAAGAATAAGTTACTTGAAGATAGGCCATTTAAAATTACCCAAACTGCAGTGCAAGGAGATGACAGAGATAGAGATAGAGAGAGAGAGAGAGAGAGAGAAAGGAAGCAGAATATCATAAATCACAGAACAGAACTGTGGACAATAACTAATTTTCAAACATATTTGTAATTAGAATTCCAGAAGCAGAAGAAAAAGCCAACGAGCGAGAAGAAATATTTGAAGAAATAATGGCTGAAAATCTTCCAGAATTAGTAATGGATACCAAAAGCAAAGATAAAGAGAAAACCTTGAAGGCAGCCAGAGGGGAAAAAATAGTGGACTTCCGTCAGAAACAATGTAAGCAAGAAGACATTGGAGTGAAATCTTTCAAGTATTGAAAGAAAAAAACAGACAATCTGGCAACAATATCCTTCAAAAAAGGAGAAATAAAAACTTTGTCAGAAAAAACAAAAATTGAGGGAATTCATTGCCAGCAGACTTCCTCTGTAAGAAAAGTTAAAAGAAGTTATTTAGGCAGAAAAAATATAGTATAAATCAAAAACATGAGTCTACACAAAGAAATAAGCACTGGAAATAGAATAAATGAAGGTAAAATATAATCTTTTAAGTCTTCTTTTTAATTGCTCTAAAACAGGAGTTGGCAAACTTTTTCTGTAAAAGACCAGAGAGTAAATATTTTCAGTTTTGCGGGCCGTGTTCTCTGTCCCAACTACCTGGCTTTGCCATTGCAGCACAAAAGTCATTGCTACTGTTAGACCTGGAGGGACAGGGAACTGTCATGACAACTGGGAGGGCATCTGTACTGAGAGGCCACCTGACAGGAGCTGTGGCCTTTAGTCAAGGGACACAACCAACTTGTCCTAGTCTGAGTTCTCCAGAAGGTACGGCTGGGGATTTGAGTATCGTGGTTTATTTGGGAGGTACAGGTAGACCAGCAGGGCAGTAAGGAAGTGAAACAGGGAAGGGAAGGCAGGCGATAAGGGGTGTTTAGTGACCAGCTGCTGAGCGGGCAACTGGAGAGTAATAGAGTTCAAAATCAGAGTGATAGATGAAGTAATGAATTTCTTGTTCTGCTCTTATAAATTAATAAAATCTGTGGAACCCTAAGTGATCTGATAGTCAATGTGGATGTGAACCAGGGAATCTTGCTAAGAGTTAGAACCCTGCAAGGAAGTCACTACAGAGTAGAAAAATGTTCATGGTATCATAGGAAGTAATAAAGACAGAGCATAAAATTGAATATACAATATTGTTATATCTATGTGAAACAAATTTTAAAAAGGGACAGAAATTAATCCATACAGGGATTTACCAAACTGTTAACAGTAGTTGTCTCTGGGTGATGGGGCAAAAAACAATTGTTTTCTCTTCTGTTTCTGTTTTTCTTTGATCTGTACTGAGTATGCACTCATTTTATAGTAGGAAATGACAATGGTTTTTGTTTTGAAGGTATATTAAGGCACTCCAATGACACAGCATCTCTATGGTTCCTATTTAATGGTAACATTTAAAAATAAGAGAATCTGAAATAAGTTTCCTTTGCCTGGGTTATTTAAAGTATAAAGTAGGGTCATACACAAGTAAGCTCTCTCTATGTCCCTAATTACCTAATGAAGTGTAGTGATGTGCAATGATGTTAGAACAGAACCGTTACCCAAGAGGCTGCTGAAATGTAGACTTTAGGCTGGCGCACTCTGCCCCCCGCCCCTAATAAAGGACTTTAATCCTTTAACAAGAAAATGGCTTCTTTACACTAACATCATTGGATGGAAACAATCACCCAGTAATGAGAGAAATCAGCTGATGAATTGAGTCAGCAGACCTATTTCCACAGGATGTTTTGGGGAAATACCACGGGTGACTTTCCCTGCAGTCTATGGGTCTTAGCTGTGTGTTCAGAGCACCACTTCCTCAGACTAAATCAGCTCTTGGATTGCTCCGTGATCATTCCATTATTCAATCATCTCTCCTGACAGGTGCTGGCAGAATGCTGCTCCTGTCACACGTCGTCGTGGTGGCCTCCCTTTGTACTTGTGAGTGGCTCTCCCCAAGGGGTATCTCCTTCATTGGAAGGGGGGCCATAGAAACATGGACAGTCAAACCAGCCCATTCAGGTGGAAGAAAGCCACATGGACATTCATACTAGGCTGACAAATTGCACCATTTCCTTGAATACTTCAGGAAGAAAATGTAAACTTCAGAGCCCAAGCCTTTCATGAATAGAGAACAAATGTATACTATTTCAACGAACATCAAAATTTCTCTAATTTTTGCTTTTGTTTTTCTTTCAGATACAAGTGGAGACGTTCTAATAACACAAGTCACAACATTTATTACCAAGAAAAAAGGAAATACGGCATTTCTTGAATGCAAAGTAAAAAGAGGTGCCTTTAAGGAGAATGCATGTATACACTGGTACCGACAGAAGCCAGACCAGCCTCTAAGACGAATTCTGTATATTTCCTCAAATGAAAACGTTGTCCACGAACAAGGTGTTAGCGAGGAAAGATACGAAGCAAGGAAACGGCAGAGTGATTTGTCAGCGAGCCTCAGGATCCACCAAGTTGAGGAGGCGGACGCGGGGCTGTATTACTGTGCCTGCTGGGATCCACTGCAGGGAAATGCTCCACTCTCACCAAACAAAAACCCCCCACGTCATCACACCTGTGCAAACACACACATCTCCTCTTTGTACCTCCCAGAGGGACCTGACTACTGTCCACAGAGGGCTGTTCTTCTGCACATGTGTCCTGAGCAAGGTCTGCCCATGGAGGCCAACGACTCAGTCTGTGATGCTTCCTTCAGCTCGGTCACTTGATTGTCTAGCTCACCTCTCCGGGGCCTAGGGTGGCTTCTGTAAGTGTCCTGAATTGTCCCTGCTTCACCATCTATGAGAAGCCTGCTGGGAAGGAAGCCATAATCCAGTGCTTAAAATGCTTTGTTGATTTTGAAGAAAGGAAAGATAGAAGCAAGGAAACAAGGAAGGAAGGAAAGAAGGAATGATAGATGATACAAGGCCTTTCGAGTAACATAGACCTGGGTTTCAAATTCCTGCTCAGCCACTCAGTGGCGATGTGATTTAGGAAAGTTACTAAATCGTTGTCATTCTGTTTTCCCAATTCTAAGTAGGCGTGGTGTTAACAACCTCATAGGGTTGCTGAGGTTTCACACAGGAGTTTAGCATAGCGTTCAACGAATCAGTGTCCTTGCCCGTTATAACTCAACCACCTCACTAAGCCATCTCAGCTAAAAGAGGAACTCAGGAACTCTTTAAAATCACATCTTACATTGTCCTCCAAACAAAAGGAAAGCATAGCTTTACTTCTGACAATCTAAGAATTGTGAAAAGGAAAAGAGTGGAGGGTAACAAACCCTAAGCAACTCTAAGCAAGACAAGCCCAATTCCTGCTTGGAGACAGATAAGAAAGATAATGGAATCTTTTACCTGATCATCAATGTCACCAAGTCCAATGAAGCCAGTTACTACTGTACCTGCTGGGATCTCACAATGTCACCGAGTCAGAGGGGACCTGTAAGAAAACCTTCTCTATTACTAGTCCTCAACTCCTTCACATTTGAGCAACCACAATAGACTCTTTAATGCTCTTAATCATAAGTTCATAGGCTGTTGGAGCAGGGAGGGCCCTTAGGACATATTTAGCCCAATGCCCCCACTTCAAATGAGGAAGCTGGGGCCCAAAGATGGTGAGTCCAAAGCTAGTTAACCACAGAGGTAGGGCTACACCCTACCTCATTTCAGATTCTCAGTCCAGTGCCTTTTCCTGCTTCTCTTGTGGTCAGTGTTGAACTTCCTGTAGCAAAATTGCATTTCTCTCAAAAGGAAGCTTTAACACCTGTGTCTTGTCTTCATAAGTGTTACTCTCAGAGCCCAATCAGGTCTGATACGTAGACAAAGTGTGTGACTGCCACACTGTTGAGAAGGGATACAGGTCAGCAGGGGATGGACCCCCAGCTCCGTCTACCTCCCTGTTGTTTCCCACGGCTGTCTACTCCCCTCATTCCTCTAGCTGCCTATCTGTTCTGAAATCCCCAATAACTGAAATAGTTTCCCTGCATACACTTCAAACACATGGACGTGTGGGAGGTGGAGATTGGTTTCTTCATGGACATATTTGTAAATTCTTTGCCAGTTACAGAATGACCTGCCAAACCAAGGCCCAAATTCCCTGCTTTTTGCTCTGATACCTGGGACCAATCCTAACTGGATGGTCACGCACTTAGTCTCAAGTTTGGTAACCTGACCCGCTTTCTGCCTTGTTAGAGGGACTCAGGACCTTTTCATGTCCAAGGTCTTACCAGCCGCACCTTGAAAATACCAATAACGGTAATAACAACAGAATCTATACCATTACGTTACAGCTAAATCCCTGTCTTCTTGGATGTCTAATAAGTAGCCAGAAAAAAATTATTGACACCAATCCCACTCCCTCACCCCAATCCCCACAGTTTGTATTATTTTTCTCCCCAAACTTCCCTAACTCAGTAAAGGGCAAAGGAGTACTGTGTCATTTAACACAATAGCAATAATGTTTTGTCAAGCAGATGGTGTTTCCTTGACCTTCCACATCTTTTGCTTCCTCTGATATTAAGAGAAGGGGATGAGTAAACCCAGCTATTCTTTAGGCATTTCCCGTGATATGAGATCTGAAAGGAGGAGATAGGAGACCCTGGGAACTGGGGTTTCATCTGTCAGAAAGTGAACCACGGACCAGACCAAATCCCATGGACACGCCTGAGTCTAGAATTGGCTGTCATGACAGAGCCCCCAAGCAAAGCTCTTAGATCCGACACAGAGAACTCCCACTCCTCTCTCCAACTTAATGCAAGTTTAGAAACTCTTTATTTTCCAGCTTACAAGTGCAGAGTAGTCAGCAAAACTCATGATAGAAATAGGCATTTAATCAAAATTATAGGTATAATTCTGAACTGCACGCCCCAAATATTTGCATGGATACTTCAATCTCCTAGTGTAACTCAAGGACAAGTGAAAAGAAGCTTAATTGTGGGGTCTAGTTGTATATTTGGATTAAACTATACCCGTCCTCACAGATTCTTTTGCTAGGTGCTTGCACTGACTGCTCATTGTTTTTTAGAATATGCAAATAGACCACTTCACCTACTTTAAATTTATCTTGATATTTCCTGTGATTCTCAGAAAGCAACATCCAATATCTTGTACCTGACCATTTGAGATACAGATTCTCTATATTATGTAGATCCAGAAGAGAACCAGAAATGTCCCTGCCACACGCATCTTTCAAACTCCACCCAAGAAGTGTGAAGTAGTTGAAAGAACAGGGTTTAGAATCTTGTGAACTTGAACTAAAACCTCTGCTCACTTTGAACTCCTTGACTCTCAGTTTCCTTCCCTGCCTTCTAATAGTAATAACCATTGTATAGGTGAAGCTGAACGGAGATAAATGTGTGGATGGTGCCTAATTCATAGCAGACCCCATCTTTATGAATTTCCTTTCCTTTCACTACCAGAAAACAGCCCTATCTTGCAGTCTTGGAGCAGGGAGAAAGAAGTGGGAAGCAGATCTGGAGCTAAGGTAGAGTGTTTATTTTCCAAGAGAGGTTTTTTTCCATATGCAAGTGCCTTTCACACATATCTGTTCAGAACAGACAAACAAACACTTCTTATTTTCAAAAAAGAAACAAGGGGCCGGCCTGGCGGCGCAAGCGGTTAAATGCGCGTGCTCCACTACGGCGGAGGCCCGGGGTTCACTGGTTCGGGTCCTGGGCGCGCACTGACACACTGCTTGGCAAGCCATGCTGTGGCAGCGTCCCATATAAAGTGGAGGAAGATGGGCACGGATGTTAGCCCAGGGCCAGTCTTCCTCGGCAAAAAAAGGGTAGGATTGGCAGATGTTAGCACAGGGCTGATCTCCTCACAAAAAAAAAAAAAAAAAAAAAAAAGAAGTATTTGGATTGTACATAGTGGCATGTTAAGTACCCAATGTGCAAAAGAAGCCCTAAGAGACTAGGAGGTCATCAAGTTCAGAATAAAGACAGATGGTAAAATTGCTAGCGGGAAGAACCTGCTTGAAAGTGAAATGACCTGGCCTCTCCCACACCTGCCCCGAGTTTTTATAAACACGTAAAATCAGACTTTCCAATGATCCATTGTATTGTATAGAAATATATCTGATATCATCTAAGTGATGGGTGAAATCAACCTTATGGCAGACTGTGAAAGCCAGTGGCTCACAGATAATATGTAATTTTATCTCGTACATATCAGATAATGTGCTCATTTTGCTTTAAGACAGCCCGGTCATCTTTCTTATCAGAAGTCTCTGTCAGTTACTCAATTACCAGGTTTAATTAAAGCCATCACTTTTCTAGAGGATAAATCAATGTGGAAAAAATGCATAAATTATGGTTTTGTTTCAAGGTGGCAACCAAATCTTTAAATGAAACATGAGACTCATAGCTTTTGATGGTCTACCAAATTTGGTTGAAGTTGGTCAACTATAAATCATTGTCAAATCTGAAAAAGTGATGCAAAACCTCAAACAATTCAATTGAAACTTGTACTTTACTTCACTTGACTTTCTTGTTATTTATATATTTATTTATTCACTCCTCACCCTGTTTAAAGTAGGATTTATGTTGCCTCAGTTGGTCACTTCAGAACATGGTGAGTGAGATGTGTGTGTGTTATATATAAAGCAGAGGGGGAAGCAAAATTATGGATATTTTTTATGATCCCATTTTTTTTTTTTTGAGGAAGATTAGCCCTGAGCTAACATCTGTTGCCAATCTTCTTTTTGCTGAGGAAGATTGGCCCTGGGCTAACATCCGGGCCCATCTTCCTCTACTTTATATGGGATGCCGCCACAGCATGGCTTGATAAGCGGTGCATTGGTCTGTGCCCAGGATCTGAACCTGCAAACCCCGGGCCACCTAAGTGGAGTGCGCAAACTTAACCACTATGCCAATGGGCCAACCCTGCTACGATCCCATTTTTATTGCTGTCATAATAGTTTATAACACTGTGAAATCTCAGTCATACATTATTATTTTTCAGTCACCATATATATATGCCCTTTTACCCCTTATGCCCACCCCCCAACTCCTGTCCCCCCTGATAACCACTAATCTGTTCTCTTTGTCCATGTATTTGTTTGTATTCTACATATAAGTGAAATCATGTTGTGTTTGTCTTTCTCTGTCTGGCTTATCTCACTTGAAATAATACCCTCAAGTTTCATCCATGTTGTTGCAAATGGGATGATTTTGTCTTTTTTTTAATGGCTGAGTAGTGTTCCATTGTATATATATACCAAATCTTTATCCATTCATCAGTTGATGGGCACTTTGGTTGCTTCCACGTCTTGGCTATTGTGAATAATGCTGCAATGAACATGGGGGTGCACAAGTCTCTTTCAATTATTGATTTTAAGTTCTTTGGATAAATACTCAGTAGTGGTATAGCTGAGTCATAAGGTATTTCAATTTTTATTTTTTTTAGAAATCTCCATACTGTTTTCCACAGTGGCTGTACCAGTTTGCATTCCCACCAGCAGTGTATGAGAGTTCCTTTTTCTCCACATCCTCTCCGACATTTGTTGTTTTTTGTCCTGGTA